TAAAAATAAATTGTAAGCCTCTCAAATATGTTATTAAATATATTCACTAAATTTGCCATCAAATATGTGGATAATATCGCAAAAATAACTTATTTCTCAATATTAGCCAAATTCTGGTTATTTGGATATACAGATTTGCAGTATTTTCTGCGGAAAACTGTATAGAGTTTAAAGTTGAATGGAAAACTCCAGTCCAACTTTAAAGTGCGATTTAAAATATTAAATATTTTCAAGCGTTTCAATTTGCTATTTATGATAATATCTAGATCGTAAACTTCATTCGAGTAATCTAATTCTATAATGCAACAATTGAATGATACGACTCTTGAAAATTTGAGTACATGTTAATGAATGGTGAAGCATGTTATATAGCATGTTTTATATATTTGGAAAATTCTTATAACAAACAAATGCTTAAGTATATGTTTTTTATCTTCTACATGTTTATAATTCTCTGTTTTTATAGCTAGAAACCTATCAATTTTAAAATCTACACATTTGAATTGTTTGAATTTAAAAAAACTAAAAAGTATAAAAATCAAGATAAAATAATATGAATATTTGAAATTGTATGAAGTATTTTACAATAATTAACACTTTACAAGAAAATTTTGAAATACTGTACTGATCAATATCTAAACAGTTTATTTATTGATTGCTACACACAATATATCATTATCGTTATATATCGTTGACTTCTGAATGTTAAATGCTAAAATTTTTACAAAGTTATAATTTACGGCATTTGTATTAGTAATTCCTTCAAAATTAAAAGAACATAAACGATAAGTATAAAATTTATTCTAAAATATACAAAGATATGTAAATGACTTAAAATATGTTTATGGGAATTATATTTCTTTAAAACTGAGTGAATGTACTATTTATTTTATTCATTGGTAAATATATTGGCATAGCTATAGTTTGAACAATATTATCAGCTAAAATAGTTACAAATGGCTATAAATTATATGGGGGTGATAATATCATAAATGGTAATACCAATAAAAAATTATCAAGTAATGATATTGCAAAATAGAAATCGCTATCGAAAATCTAATAAATTTTATCTCCAAGAAAAAATGAAGCAATTAACGTGTATTTGTATATAATGCGTGTAAGCTTGCACATATGTAATGCCATAATAATAATAAAACCATAAACAAAAATGTAATCAACGATCTAAAAATATGTCTAATCCAGGTGTAAATGATGATATGAATAATTTTGACTTAGGTCAAGTAACATGAACAACTGATATGTGTAAATATTCGTCCTAATCAAAAGAAATTGAGATTTGGCAATTTTTGAAAATTGTAACGAATTTGCAAATTTTGACGCTGCTCATTATTTCAAATATCAATGAATTTTTATAATTAAACCACTTTTTGTATGCCTAGTTTAGCATGTTCTTTATGATAATTCTACAAAGATCGTTAAGATCTTTGATCATACATGCAAAGTTTTATCAAAATCTTTAAAAAAAAATACTAATAATTAGGTACAAAAAACAATCTTGCTGATCTTAGTCAGCACAATTCACAACTGATCGTTCAACAGTTTTTTCACTCGCGAATTTTACACCCTTTCCACTCGCAAATTGCGAGATTCATATGTATTATGGCGGCATCCAAGTGCAAAGGGTTAAAATCGTTTAAGGATTTTTTTCGATAATGTTATCAAAGAAATTTGTACTTTGAGATAAAAAAATGACTCTGCGATTGAGTCGCAAAAGTAATCGATTCTTTATAGAGTTTCATCAAGTAGATTTAAAAATGTTAAAATTGGTACAGCCGTTCGAGCAAAAATCTCAATGTAAATCAAATTTTGGTTTACATACAAATACGCATATACAATTATTTTTCCAATTTAAGTGCCAAATAAATAATATAAAAGACATGAAATATTGAGAAAATATAGAAATAAACATTTTTGGCGAAAGCGTTAATATTTAGAACTAAATTTGCAAAGTAAAAAATATACTCAAATTATTAATTAGATTAAGTTTTATCAAAGACAAATATTTCTATATAAATAACTTAGCAATACTTACGTATGTTAAATTTTATAAAATCACAGCTGTATATTTATCACTATTTTTTTATTAATATCAACTTGTGTTAATATTACTATTACTTGATTCACTAGATGGACCTAAATGATACAACAAATAAATTTAAAAGTATCAACTCCGACACATTTTTGTTAACATAGAATATAGATTAAATTAAAAAGGTAAAATAGATAATTTTGTCTGAAACCAAAAATAAATTATTCTAGAATTTTCAAGTGTAAATTTAAAATGTTTTTTTCCAAATAGTAACCTAATGCCAATGGCGCGTGGTACCTGCCACGGTAGATTGGCAACAACTGACTGCTTTGTGAATAAAGTTACTCTAATATAGAGATACCGCTGAGACTATTTCAGATGTAGATAAATAGAAAACGTAAGATTTGCTTTAATATATTTGATAGAGTCATTTTTTTTCAAGTTTTCGAAGGAAAAGTTTATGTTTTTGCCACAAATTTTGATTTACCAATATTATGTATTCACGACATTTCTTTTCATTTTATAAGGTTTAATACAGAAATTGGAAAAATTCGGTGTCAACGGTTTCTCATAAATAGATACACTGTTTATAATCAACGCCATTAGTTAAAATTTATAAGTGTAATATAAAACTAGTGGGGTGTATGGCATTGTGCCTTAAGGCAAATTGCTGGAACTTCCCGTACCATAACGAAATGTTCGAGGAATACTGAATGTTTTCAAATAGATTATTATTAATATTGTAACATTGTCTAATACTCATAAGAATTATATAAACTGAATTGCAAAGTTAAAATTATTTGTTTAAAGTATATTAGAACTATAGTCAGAATTAAAAATAAAATCTGAATTATTTTCGATATACAAAAAAAAATTTTTTGAAAAAAAAAGTTTAAACAAATTTTTTTTTTCCAAAATCAATTTTTTTGTTAATACAAGCAGAAAGTTCTTTGAATCATTTAAATCGGACGCTTAGTTCTCTCAAAAACTTCCATTTTTTACACATTTAGCTCCGTATCTTGGAAATGGCTTTGCCTGCCTTTGCCAAAAGCTAATAAACGCTTCTCCCAATCATTAATAATTGAATGTTTTTTAGATCATTCAAATCGGATGCTCTGTTCTCTCAAAAACTTGATTTCCATTTTCTACACTCTTTGCTCTTTATCCCCGTAATTGCTGGACCTGCCTTTGCCAAAAACTAATCAGCTCATCTCCCTATCAATAGGAATCGAATATTTTTTGAACCATTCAAATCGGTTGATCCGTGCGCCCGAAAACGTGACTGGAAATTTGTATCCATACATACATACACACACACACATCCATTTTTTCTGAGGTGTGCCAAAGTGTTCAGAGACCTTCAAAACGTCGAGAAATGTAAAAATTTTCAATTTCGATTTTCGGCCCATTACAATAACTTACCCTACAGGAAGTTAATAATATTTACCAAAAAAATGCTTTTTCATTTGTCCAGAAATTAGAACTGTTCTATCTATTAGAAATGTTCTATCAGCTTTTATGCTGACGTATACTATACCAAGATATTTTTCTCAAAAAGACAACCCAACGGTCGACCGAACCTTTTTTGTGTGTAGAATATATAATTAGATATTCATTCATCAAATAGTTATAGCGTATATTTTGATATGCAACTATGCATGAAAAGCGATTCTCTTAAGATTATATTTGAGACATAGGTATAACTTCAGATGAAAATTTTATATCTGATATCTAGATGAAAATTTGATAGTTTGTGCCCATGATTTTAAATGTTTGCGCCACGGCGAGTTCAAATTTATCAAATAGGAAAAATATACTAAATTTATCTGAAATCTGTATTGCAGCCCTAAATTTCCGATAAATTATTCGATTAGTCTTTCTCCAAACTGAAGGATCTGAATCTATAACCTCCTGAGGAAAGTGATAACTTTTTAGAAATCTCTTGAAAGTTCTCTGTAATTATAATGTAAAAAATATACTGAAGTGAGACAAAAGATCATTTCAAATGTACATAAATGAAAAACGTAAGATTTGCCAATATTATGTATGTATGACATTTCTTTTCATGTTATAACGTTTGACACAGAAATTGGAAAAATTCGGTTTGCGTGCCAACGGTTTCTCATAATAGATGCACCGTTTATAATGAACGCTATTAAGAATTAAAAAAAAAATTGTTAAAATTTATGAGTGCATTATGAAATAATATTTTCAATAAAATGTTTTTTATTTGACCAGCGATCAGAGCTACATGTTGTAAGAGATGTTATTCTGAAGTACATCTTAACCAAGATATTTTTCTCGAGAAGGCACCCAGCGTTCAACCACTCCTTTTATGTGTAAACTATATAATTATAGATATGTCTAATAGTAATATAATTAAATATATCTAATAGTAATATAATTAGATATGTTTAATAGTAATATATAAAAAACAATATAATTACATATATCTAATAGTATTAGGGGGAGTCCATTAATCACATAAGATTTTTTGGGAGAGGGGGGTTTGAGAAAAAACCACGAAATATCACGTTAAGGAGGAAGAGGTATAGTAAGATGTCACGCGTATATATTTTTCACTTGATTTTTTTTTTTAATTCAGACATTTTCAAGAAAAATGTCAAAAATTGTACAATTTTTTCTCGTAACTAAAAATACACGTGATGTTTGATGGGGGAAGGGGAGAATTTTGAATACCACCACGTATCACCAAGGGGGAAGGGGAGTTCAAAAATCCTTAAAAAGTCGATCACGTTTATTTGTTAAAGTGAAAAGCGATTTTCAATGAATTTATATTTATATTTGAGATCTATAAACTTCGAGTGGAAAATTAATATCATTCTGTCTGATATCGAGCTTGGCCAATGTTGAAATCGAACCTAGTTCTAGTCGTTTACGCCATAACTCAAATTTATCAAAAAATATAGAAAAAATATACTAATTTTACCTGGAATCTATTATCCTGCTTGCAATTTCAGGTAAGTAATTCGATGCGATAGTTTTTCCTGAACTGTGCGATGTAAATCATAAAACACCTGAAAAAAGTGTTGATTTTTTAGAAATCTCATGAAAGTCCTGTATAACTTAAAGATTAACAAAGGTGCGATAAAAGTTTATTCATTGGTTGCTCTTAAATCGCTATAAAAACAAAAGTATTTGATGTTTAGTTTGTAACTTACCTAAGAAGAAGTTTGTTTTCTTCTGACATCAAATTATCTAAATTTATGTTTTTCCGGTGTTTCAAGTTATTCTGACACTAAAATTTGCCACAATTTGACCTAACAATGACATTTTCTCAAAAATTTCAAATCCGATTTCAAACATTTTCAAACCAATTGATGAAACTCAAAAAACTTAGTGTTGATTAGTATTGGGAATATAAACCTTATACTACTGTAGTATAATTAATCTTTAAAATTAGTAAAAAAAGTGCTAAATTTTTCATACAAGAGTTCTGCACCGATTTTAAAAAACCAATAACTGTTCGAAAGATATTTTGGCAAAGGTCGGTCGGCCGTATCTTTGTAAATAATAGTTGAACTTTTTTGACAATTTTAAAGAAACTTGGTATGATAATGCAGTCGATGGCCTCCAAGATCATCTTAAAATTTTAAATGCTTACGAACTGTCTTTTAATTATAAAAAATATTAAAGTCTGAAACAAAGAACAACAATGTTGACCTCAAGTTGACTATATACAAATAAAAACAATTTAATTTAATTTAATTTAACTTTCTAAATTCGTACATTGGATTGGGGCTTAAGCTGACTGTCAATGTATTATGCCTATACAATGTATTATTTTGAATATATCTTGTTGTAGAAAATTCACGTTTTTTATAAATATTGAAATTACAATATAGTAATAAAAGCCGCAACTTGCTTTTTTAATAGGTAGCAAATTTATAATTTCAATATTAGTAATTTTTGTTCTCGATTATCCGTTATCATTCTTCAATTGTTGAGTTTGACTAATACGGCCATCTAGTTACAAAACATTCGAAAATCGCGCTTCATATTTACTGAATTAGTTTCATATAAGTGGCGCTGACCACTGTTATGTCATTGACATAAGTTTCATTGTCGATCCGTAAGAATAAAAATTACTATTTTAAAGTAATTGGAAAATATGGCTTCGATCTTGCAATACGCTGTTAGGCGCAGCATTATTCAGGGTGTTAGGACACAAGCAACTGTTGCTGGGCCCTCGGCCACTGCTGGCCACTCAGGTATTTTTGACTTTAAAATAAAAATGTTTCATTATATAACCTTTTGTAAAATGCGTATAATAATATACAAAAGAGACTACTGTAGATACCAAGTAATTACTATAACATAATGGTTTCTAAAAATGAACGTGCACACTTGGCTGATGGACTAACATTCACCAACTGAGAGTAGGTTCCATAATTAGGCTCCGAGGGCATAATCAAACATACTCACTTGAGCAGCAGGGCTCATGTAATAGATTGATAAGACAACTATATCTTAATCATTGAAGAATGAAAACACAATTTTTGTTCTATATCTTAGTGGCTGCACCATAGACCTGGCTCATACATGAACTGCTAGCCCTCATATGTGTCCCCTGTTAAAGTGTTAAAACATAAAGTCGTTAATATATATTAACAAAAGACAAATGTAATAAACTGCGTCAGTTTGTATGCATATAAATATGTTTGCAAGTATTTTCACTATTTGTGTATTAAATCATTATCTCAAATGGTGAAAGACTTGGTGCTATGTTAACAAAAAAGCAAATTGTACTTATCTTCTTGAACTCATTTGTTCTCCCTCAAATAAGAATCAATCCTTATAAATTTTGGCATCAATTTTATATAAACATTTTTATCTTCAGGTGGTGCTTCTTTGTGGAAGAAGCTTACCTTCTTAGTAGCTTTCCCAGCAGTCGGTTTGTGCATGTTAAATGCTTACCTTGGACACGTAGAAGATCACCACACTCCCAGACCTGAGTTCATTCCTTATGAACATTTGCGAAGACGCAACAAGGTAAGTGATTATGTTTCTAAGATATTATTAATGCTATTCCATTCAATTCTAATCATATTTTATTTAATTTGCAGCGATTCCCATGGGGTGATGGACAACGCACGTTCTTCCACAACCCGCATGTCAATGCTTTGCCTAATGGTTATGAAGTAGAAGAAGAACATCATTAAAGCTCTTGCTTCAGCAGTTTTAGATGAAATAGTTTTATGTGAAAGAGTGTAATATCTTGCTCTATATGATTTAAATTGTAAGTTACAAATAAAATAAAATGAAATAAAATAAATTTTACTGAATATTGGACTTGATCAATGATCTTTAAAATTACCATAATTGTTAGTTAATACTTTCCTATGAAGTGTGTCTATTATAAGAATGGAAATGTGTATAAATGTTAAAAGTACATTCTTTGCCTACTAAGGTGTGAAAACCCCATTAGTTTTTGAGAAATCAGATTTGATTGGAACAAAATTCAATCAATTTTGTAAAATTTATGTGGATTTTTTGATTTTCACTTATATATCAGATTTTAATTAGCTTAGCTGTTCCTTCTTTGGAATGTTTGGTAGGTCCAGACAGGCATATATATACATACATTATTTCCTGCGTGTTCTACGTGTAAGCAAGACATTAGTAAAGCAAGTATGCTTTATATATTTTTACAGCTTACAGATTATATATTTCACAGCTATGTTGAATGAGGCACATTTTAATATCACGCTGATGCATTGAGCCCTGATCAAATTCCAAAATATTAAGTAAAACTATTCAGCCGGATTATAGAACCAAAGCATGATTGTGTCATGACAGTTTCGTTATAATGCATTTCGGCATTATAATAAACTAAGTGATCTTTACCTAATTATAGAATTATATAGTGATTTCAAAAATTTAGCATAAAGTATAGAGCACCAAAGTAATTGCAAAAATCAAAAGTTATATTTTGATGATGCCTCGACATATGCATGTATAATCATAAGTTTTTCAATTTTTACTCAACATGTTATTGAGCTATTTTTCTATCTCAAACTTAGCATTGAGCATCAAGCATTCTAGGAAACAACAGGGCAAAAAGTATAGATTTTTTCTGAAACCTGGATGGTCTATGAGAAAAAATGAAATAAATCTTTGAAATGCACAGAAAATGGTCTTTCTTCACCATAACTTTTCTCTTATATATTATTATTATGAATATAATTTAAATGCATAGAATAATTTCAAAATTTTTATATAGAAGATGATTATGTACCTGGGTTATGCACTAATTAAATGATTACTAGAAAAATGAAAACATGAATACGTGGGTAATGATTTTTTTTTCATTTCATCATTTATCTCCCTATAAGAAAATATATTATTTAAGTACATATTTGGTATTCTATTAATAAATATTCTTTCAAACAGATAATTAAGAAATAATTATCTATAACACATTAGATTGTATTCAAAGTAAAAAAATATAGTGAATCAAAGTATATATAGATATATATAGTTTATAACAACAACATTCCTAGATATTCATCTATTTCATCTTCTCGAGACTTTTCCTCTACAACCTGGGCTTTACTCCATGGATTATTACTTTCTGTGGAAGTACCTGCCAAGGGATCTGTATCCTCAGATTTATCTGCTTCTTTTTCCTCTGTAACAACATCTTTGGTATTTTTAAGTTTCTTAGATAATTTTTTCATCTTTTTAGGATTATTTTGTCTTTTAATCTCTCTTTTTTTGCTCCTATAATTCAATTTAACAGAACAATCAGGACATAAACGTAATTTAACTAGAGCATTCTTCTTCTCATTATCTTCTATATAAGCAAAATTCACTTCCCATGTTCGTAGATCTTCTCGGATGTCACATTTCTTTGTTCCGCAAATGAATTGGCCTTTGCCTACAACAACTTCTTGCCTTACTCTCCATCTTAATGCAACTTTATTCTCTTTATAGCGGCTTAAGTCGCAAATTGTGTACTCTTTAAATAATTTGTCATAGTATTTTTTAGCTAATTGTTTCTCCCAAGTGTCAGCATCTTCGTCATCCCATAAAAACTTGTGATTTTCTTTTATCACGTCAAAATCTGTTTTATCCTTAGATGTATCACGCTTAAAATGCTGTGATGATCCCCCATAGTAAAGAAGATATTGGTTTATAAGGGATTTATGAAGTTCGTAGGTGTTCATAATTTACAAAGAAGAAATTACATATTATATTCTATATATGTATATACAAATTGACAAGCACTTTGCAACATACAATTGTCGTTTTCAGACTTATATATTCTTTTAACTACATTATATCTGCAGATTTTTTATCAATGTAAACACATGACATCCATCCATCAGTAAAATAGCTGTCAATGACATAATGGCAGCCTGTCATTATAACATTGAACTTCGCTAACTTCATTCTCTTTCGATGAGCGCCAAATTTAAATCACAACTTTGTACGTTTTAAATATTCTTTAGTTAAATATCGCTGATTAGAAAAAGTGATATATTTTGAATACGAATCCTATAGGCGTAAAATATAATTTCGAATTTCAACATGTACAATTTTACTTCATCGCATGTGTCCTCAGCTTACACAAAAAGCTAGTTATTATAAATTAATTTACAACAGTTGGAATTTATAATCAAAGTTTGAAATAATGAGAAAAAATGATGCAAACTCAAATTATTCATTGACATATGCGCATCAAAACTTAAAGCATTAATTTATATCAAAATTTTTAGTGAATATTAGCAAAATTTTTAGTGAATACTAGCAAAATTAAATTTTTCACAATTATATGAAAATTAATTCAAAGATCAGATTTTGAATGTGAAAAATATGGCAAAATCGACGGGAAAGAAGAAAGAACAAGAAAAAAAGGAAAAAGTAAATACTGACATATTTTCAATTGAAAAAAAAAATGATAAATGTGATTAAAAATACTATCGAATATATAAAACGCTTCAATGAGAGTCTGATAGCAAGCAAACTAAATAAGTCAATATATATGTAGCAATTACATATTCACTGCAAATATTTCATTCAATAATGTTCCACTATTCTCCTAATTGTAAAGAAACGGCCTACCCGATCGTCTTGCAAAACTATAATCAGTACAAGCTTCATCGAATAGCTCTTTTTAATAATTTATTGATATAATATTTTCATATCTCAGTCAGACGTGGGTGCCTGGTATGACAGATAATAAAATTATAAAATCGTTAAAAGTATAAAAGATATAAAACATGAATTTATAAAACCGCGGTGCAGGGGTTTTTGAAAATATTTCGACAAAAGCTCAAATTTAGCTTGAATACACATGATTCAGAATGACTTAAAACGTTGGGAAATAATAAAGTTAGCAAATCGGCTTTTTTTCTGACAAAACAACTTTTTTTTCTAAACTTATTAAAACTATGTAGAACGTAGACATCGACTTTACTACTTTAAAATAAGTTGCTTTAAATGGCACTAACAAGTAGTTTCTATATCATTCTATTTCATATCTTTTTGGAAATATGTCGCGTTAGCATTGTACTATAAATTATTATTTTTAAATAATAATATTATCATTATTTATTGAATGAGTAATCACCTTACTAAGAACAAAATGTAATTGTAGAAAAAAGAAGTAAAACATTATTGGAATCCTCCAAATGTTCCACCGCATGAACTGGAACACCAGGAGCAATTAGGTATAATACGGTCACTTAAAATCAAAGCAAAATGGGAGAAAGGAAAGAAAAATGTAGACAAAAGCGCCAAAACAACAAACATAAAAGGTAATCAAACAATTATTGTTATTATTATTGATATTACCTAAATCAATAATAATAAAAAATATATAAAAAGTATTATTTTTAACTTACCGTAGGATAATTTATAGTATTGGGTCCAAAATCGAAAATGAAAATTTTTGCCTATCTTCACGTTTCAGAAGTTTCTGAACCGTGGTGTGTGTGTGTTTTGTGTGTCCTCAATTTTTCCACGTTTTCGGGAGAACGGATCAACCGAGAGGAGCTAAGCATCCGATTTGATGTTCAGATTTTAATTTTATTCTAACTAAAGTTCTCACTTATATACTTTAAACAGATAATTTTAACTTTGCAATTCAGTTTATATAATTCTTATGAATATTAGTCAATTTTACAGTATTTATAATAATCTAATTGAAAACACTTAATATTTCCCAAACATTTTGTTACGATATGGGAAGTACCAGTAATTTGCCTTACGGCACGACGCCATGCACCACTAGTTGAAATTAATTCTATCCCGTTGTACTGATTATCAAAATAGATATTATGAGGGCAGTGGCGTCGGAAGCAAAATTTTTGATGAGTGGGCTCGTTTTTTTTATGATAGACAGCCAGTGGCTTCGTTTTTTTCCATCAAAATTCATTGATGGGCTCAAGTCCACACAGCCCACGCAGTTCCGACGCCACTGGATGAGGGTATTTTATTTTATTAAATTGCTTTGGTAGAAATCAACATGTTCATAATGTTTTGTGTAAAATTAATATTAGAGATTCGTATTATGAAAAATCCTAATTCAATTTTGTTCATTTTATCTTCTCTTGTTAACTTCCCGTAGGGCAAGTTATAATAATCGCAAAAAAATCGAAAATGAAAATTTTTATATATCTTTACGTTTCAAAACCTTCTAAACATTTTGGCATACCTTAGAAAAAATGGATGTATGTGTGTGTATGTGTATGTGCGTGTATGTGTATGTGTGGATACAAATTTCCGTCGACGATTTAGGGAACACGGATGAAGCGATTTGAAAAATTCAAAAAGTATTCGATTCGTATTGATAAGGAGACGTGCTGATTAGTTTTTGGCGAAAGCAAGTCTAGCCGTTCAGAAGATATGGGGCAAAAAGTTCTAAAAACGGTAACTCAGTTTCTAAGAGAATGGAGCGTCCGATTTCAATAACTCAAAAAAAAAATTACTTGTGTTAACAAGATGAAGAACTGATCAAATTTTCATGAAGGCAGGTCTAGCGATTTCGGAGATCTAGTAAAAAAAGTAAAAATAATGCCATTTGGCGGTCAAAAATGATCATTAGACATATGCACATCAAATTATCAGATACTTTATAGAGATTTTAACAATAAGTATAAATTTTGTTTACATTCCTATGGGTTCTGTACTAATATTTATCCGTTAGACGGCGACGCGGCGTTTACGCGCTTTGACATTTCGTCTCTATGCAGGTAAAGCAGTACGATTGCTCTGAAAAAAAGTTCAGATTTTCCAAAATATGTCAAAATAAAGAAAGTATTTTTTGTCAAATTTATAGTTTCTCAAAAATCTATTTTTTTTTCAGAGTAATTTTTTTTTCACAAATATTCATCATTTAAAATTTTTTTTTGGTATGGGAAGTTCCAGCAATTTGCCTTAAGGCACGATGCGCCCCACTAGTCATTAATCTCAGTTCCTAATATTTTTTTATCTAAATAACTATAGTTAGGATCTAGTATTTTGAGTATATCCATAGACGAAACAAAAATGATATATAAATTTAGTTAACATACTCTAAGAAAGCTCTATTTAAGATGCTACTATTGACGTTAAATTGAACTTTGAGCAATTGAGCAATTGAGCAATTGAGCAATTGACCCTTTTAATTCATATATTTTTAACTAATATTCATATTATGTACAATATGTGAAATTAATTTTGAAGAATAAACTAGAAAATAACTTACTCAAACTCATACCTTGTATTTGCAGTTCAGGATATTCTGGACAGAGTCGAACGAAATGCGGGTCCTCCTTGGTATCAAGAATTTTCTCCTCAACAAATGGACGCGGCTGATCATTTGATTTGTCATTTGAGAGATGATTGGTGTTTAAATCATTTTATCATTCTGAAAATATAATTATTGAATTAATGACAAGTTACAAATCACTAACTAAAAATATAAAAAAAAGTTTTGTGCTCTGTAAAAGATATTTTTTCAAATAATAATAGTAAGTAGTCAGTGCTTTCTAAGGTTTATGGAGGAGGTAGAAATTCAAAAAAACATGGAACATAGTTTTTTACTAGGTTTATATGTAAACCTATGTTATATATCATATTTTTACCTTTGCTTATCGTAATTTATTTAAATGTAGTTTAGAACAGGAATTAAATTTTAAAAGATGCTGAACATTTGCGCAGTATTTTATGTGCGCATTACTTTCATATATTGATATATTCTTGAAAATATCCATTAACTGATACAATACTTTCTAATAATTCAGAAAAAACTTCAGAAAAAAATCGGTAATATATTATGTTTTTATCTATAATTATTTTCTAAATTGCATTACCCAATATTACCAAATATTTGCTATGTATTAATGATAATACGAATTCAACCTATGTAGATGTTATATAAATTTATAACAGTGCATAAATTTTAATAATGAAATAAAATAATTAAAAATTATTATTATCAAAGGTACGAAGATCAGACTTATCGAACAATGAATGCATTGACCATTATAGGCGTCTGCCCCAAAGTAAAGAAATCTGTTATTCGCAAAGCTATGTGTCGTTCTTGCAGAAGACCAGTTGAATTTTTATTGCTTATGTTTAAATCTTTTCGTGGCAGAGATCCGTTGATTTTGCAGCCAGGTTCAACGAATTTGTAAAATTTTAATTACTGAACATCGCAGTAATTTTACTTTTTATAGATTACACTGTAAATGAGCGGCTCATGTTATCTGCTATAGCTCATCTATGTTTATACCAAACTCTTCGCGAATTGGATAGAAGACTTCCACCACCTCTTCTACCTCCAGAAAATTTAGAAGAGCAATTGAGCCGCCTCATGCGCAAAGTTGCATACACACGTGAGATTTTTACATAGATTTTTTCTTTTGGAGTAATAATGATATAACATCATCGATAATTTTTTGTCCGAATATAGCCGGAACTCGAGTGAAGAAACCAGAAGATGATCCAATTTTACAACGTAATCCTTGTGCAAAATATCGTGAATACCTAGAAGTGCCTTCCTGGCCAAAGTATCCACAAAGTGTATTTTATAAACCATTTGGAGTCAAACAACCATCTTTAGCCCCATATGACAGGCCGCGTTGTCCAGGATTAAAAGATCACAGGCCAGTAATAGTACGTAGCCGCAGTAAAACAATTATATTACAAATATCGTATATAGGTATAATTCTTATACTAGAATATTAATTTAATTAACTCTTTTTTCAGGAATCTAAAAAACCAAGACGTAAGTATTTGAAAATTATTATTATTAACTTCCCGTAGGAGAAGTTTGTTTTCATCAAAAATCTGAATTGCTAATTTTTAGTT